AAAGAGAAAGAAAACAGGACTTCAAAAGGGCTACAATTAACATACAGGGCTTACTTGGGACTAGCAAAACACGCGAGCTGATGCACGAAGGTGGTGAAATAAGTACAACAGACGGTACAGGCGGTATAAAAGTTATCAAATGGTATCAAAAATAATCTGCGACATATAAAATAAACTATATAAGAGGTATTAAAGGTTACAAAAATAATCCATAGGAACACAGCAGCACAAAAAAAACATATTATATGAGGTAAAACAAAACAAAAGTGTAGGGCAGTACCATTAGAGAGGGTCAGCTAGCAAGACCTATAGGCATAGATGGGTGCCCCGGCCTTGAGAACCAGGGATGGTGGGGTGAACTCTCCCCACTCACCCAAGCCTTTCTCACAGTTGTACTGCCCATGGAGTAGTAAAATCAACGAAAACACACCTCAATATCGACGACAGCACAGAAATGGAATGACAGAGAGAGACCAAGAGCGAGCAGTTTATAACGCAGGCCAACAGGAAGCAAAGCCCAGTGAGATCCTTCCACTAAGGAATGTAGGGCCAGTCAGAATTTACAAACAACGTCGCCGTGTGGTTACGTGTCTGTACAAGGATGGTCGTCCAATATACAGGCCACATATGCCTTCATAAACATGTCTCTTCAGACCTACGTTGTATCTATCCATTAGATGTATATATTTCACATAAAACTTTTTGAAACTGCCAACTAACTTATTATAACGGAAACCTTGTTTTATCAACCTAGTAGTAATCATCATATTCCGCTTAATAAATTCATCATAAGTGCTGCATATTCACCCGATTCTCACTAATTGTGATATATAAACGCCATACGAAGGACCCGCGGGAATGTTGCTGCTCATAAAAGGCAAATTAACAATACGGAAGTTAAAACTATCTCTCTTATCATAGATGGTGGTGGTGAAATGTCCATCTTTTAATAAAATGCCGACATCCAAGTATGAAACCGTACCATTATTTTCCGTCGTTTTTTTCAGAACAAGCTCAGGTGGATATATCTCATTTATCGTATTCTCAAAAGAGGGGTTATTTAAAGTGAGTAGATCGTCGATGTACCGAAAGGTGTTAGAAAATGCTCTCGCTTTGGACATATTACTACTTATCAGCCTTCTCATATATACGTACTCAAAGTGAAATAGATATAAATTTGTCAATAAAGGTGCACAATCCGTGCCCATAGGTATACCTATGCACTGACGAAACACCCTATTACCTACTGACACATATATATTGTCAATAAGATAGTAGACCATATCTAGTAGCTGAGCTTTACTGATGTTAATTTCGTAATTATTGTCGGTACTCCAGAAACATTTACCTCTCTTAGTTATCGATAAATACATTGCTCCTCTCATCTCCTATCAATTCTTTCATGCTGCTCTTTAAGGAGTGATGTGGTTTGCTTGTATACAATGTGGAAAAGTCAAAGGTGTCCATGGTTCCAGCCGCCGAAGTATCATTGAGTGTATGCATTGATTGTAAGACTAACTGCGCATTATTAATAATCCAAAAACAGTTAACTCCCGTATTTCTGTATATACCAGCACAATATTCTTTTAAACATCTTGTCAGCAACCCCGATAATGGCTTGGTCGAACATTTGTTTGACGCTGCAATAAACCTACTCCCATATGGGTTTTTATGCAGCATGGGTAGCCAATACATCGTGGGCAACTGTTCCATTACAGGTGGTACATATTATGTTCCAACGTTGTATATCCAACAGATGCTTCCTTACAAGTTGGTCATACTTACAACTACTGGCAATATACGTGGATGGTTGGCCTACATTCTGCAACTCGTTTACTATTACATCAACATAAAATTTCTTACAAACCACAATAATATTACTACTCGCCTTGTCTGCGGAGACCAGAACATATTTCTGGTGGAATTGTTCTAAATATTCCAAATGAACGCGATTCTTCAGTACCTGCAGCTTTCTATGTATGGGCCCTTCCTCTTGAGAACATTTATCCTACTTATAATACATCTTGCTATGCCACTCATTCAACATTCGGACATCAAAATGCTCTCTCTTTGCCCACTGCACCTTATACGCTCGTATCGAATCCAAGAGTATTGATTTGATTTGATTCCAGTTAATATTATTCTGCTCCCTGTACGAAGGCCCTTTTATCAAAAGCTGACGAAGTTGTCTATCATCCACAATACGTAGATTACCAGTTATCACATGCCCAGTTGGACCATATACATAAGGAGAATTACTGGATATTTCCTTGGAACCAACAGTAAAGTCTATCTCGGAAACCACCGTCTTATGGTTAAACACTTTACAGGCAATCGTACTAGCATACTGGTAGCTAACCGTAGGTGGGGTATTATCTATGCATAAGGGAATTGTAGAGGTAACGTTCTTGTTGTGCAACAAAGAAGGCAGATTGACCATATCGATACCTTTACTATGATAGAGGATTTTAATGAACCTTTTATTCCCAGTTTGACCATTCAGGTGATCAGTGCTATGACCAGGAGAGTTTCTAAACTGTACTAGGTCCCTGATAAAAACTCCTATACGTCCGGGTATCTCACCACGCAATAGATAGCCATCTAATGTCTTAGTCACTTCACCGAGTTTCCTACGAGGCAATCCTAGAATGTATGTACGCATATCCTTGCTGAAGTTACGACGCCTATACGAAGCCAACAATTTGGAGAGATGCTCATCGATCAATTCGTTATACGCCATATTCTTACTCCTTCTGCCGTTCCTATTTCTAAACCTTCTGTCATGCTTATGGAAGAGACTATATACGACCAAACTATCCTGATCTATAAGCTTTGATATATTACCTAAACCCTTGACGTTATCGTTCAAACCATATGGATATATGCTGCACAGTTCTCTCATCCAGAAGTCCTCCCTTTGTAGTAGCTTAGATGCTAAAATAATGTTATCCTCAGGGCCTAGCACAATGGGCATAATCCTCAAGTCTTCAATGGTGTGGCCGTTGGAGTTAAAGTGGTTGTATAAGTATAAGTTGCACAACTGCTTTAACCTACTACGATGGTTATTCAATCTACTCCGTAGTGTTTGGCTAGTTTTGCCGATGTATTGTACCCCACAAGATATATGATATTCCTACTACTGCAATCCAGAATGTTATTTCTACCTTTTACACTATATGTACGCCCGTTAACATTACTTACAAATGTATCACCGACCACACAAGTCATACACCTTCTGCTCTCACATGTCATAACCCTAGACTGTAGATCCTCAGGTGTGCCCCGTCCTGATCCAGGCTTTAAGGACACCCCGTCATGGCTGCAGTCTAGTTTCACCTCCATGTGTGCTACAGTTATATAGGAAGTTTGAGGAGTGAAGAAGTAATTTTAAAGAAACTATTTGTTGTTGTGGTCGTTATGGAAACGATGTAATACACCAAGTTTCATCTCCATGTGTGGTACCGTTAGGAGTTTGAGGAGTGAAGAAGTAATTTTAAAGAAAAGTGCCTGAGGCTATTTGTTGTTGTGGTCGTCATGGAAACGATGTTACACACATGCGTACCAAGTTTCATCTCCATGCGTGGTACCGTTAGCGAGTTTGAGGAGTGAAGAAGTAATTTTCAAGAGGCTATTTGTTGTTGTTGTCGTCATGGAAACGATATAATACACATGCGCACCAAGTTTCACCTCCATGCGTGCTACAATTAGCAAGTTTGAGGAGTGAAGAAGTGGTGTTAAAGAAAATGCCTGAGGCTTTTTCAAACAAAATGTGGTCGTCATGGAAATGATATAATAGGCATATGTACCAAGTTTCATCGCTACCATTGCAGAGTTTGAGGAGTGAAGAAGTAAATTTAAAGAAGAGTGCCTGAGGCTAGTTGTTGTTGTTTATAAACATGTATTGTTGTGATTTTGATGTTGGTAATTGAATACATTATGTCTACAAAGTTTTGTGCACATAGCTCTTACCATTTGTGAGTTATACTGACACATGTGATCCCTTTATAATGTATTGCCTGGGGCTATTTGTTGTTGTTTACAGTAAACAATGTTGTTTACAAAAGAAATAAGTATGAGCAGTCTCTTGGGTGACGGATATCTACATTCTTACAAAATTTCATTACTATAAGTATTATTATGTTGTTTCGTTTTTGAGTTATGGGTGTTGAATCTGAAGAAGGAGAAGAAGATGAACAAAACTCCCTATCATAGCCCCATACATCTATGATGCTAGGTACCATGTCAATCCCTATAATTATACTAAGTACTACCGTACTTAGTGATATATGAAAATTCCGCTCGAACGAACGAACGACTAGGTTGGCTCGCTCCCGCTCGCCAATTATTCTCTTCCATTGGCGATATTCAGCGCAGATAGATACGGGGGACCGTTTGTTCCAAAACATACTAGTGGAAATGTGTGGCGAGCGGGAGCAACCTAACTTGGGATTTGCCCGCGATGTTCGATCGGGCTACATAACGTGCCGTCGGCGCACAGCTTTCCTCTCGTGAAGCAAGACAGAGGGATCAACAAGTGTAGAGAACGGACCCAGCGCGCAACGACTTCTGGAAGCCGCACAAGTGACCGCGCCCCCAGTCAATGGTACGCCCAGCGGCACCAGAATACACTTTACGGCAGCATCCTCTCCCTTTCACGCGCTCTGGGAGCTAGTTTGAGGAGTGAAGAAGTACTTTTAATCATGCTTTATGTATCCCACCCCTACCTTTCCACCCTCTGTGCCCCTTTTTTTCATTGCGTAATGCCAGATTGAGACAGTGTCACATCAGACTCAAAACGTCACCAGTACACAAAATCCCTTTGCTTCCTGTAGTGCGCATGCGTGTCCACAGAAGAAGACGTTCGCGACTGCATAGCCATGTCTCTCGCGGATGAGCTATTAGCTGACCTGGAGGAACTTGGCGATGAGCTGGGAGACCAAGAAAATGATCAGGTAGCTAAAACAAATAATCTTGAACCCGAGAGTGCGTTTATAGGCCTGCTTATGGGTGTAAAACAGAGAAAAAAACAGTGAACCGTAGTTTAACCATGATGATCGCTCCGGTGTTAGAAACAGGACATCATGAACGTATTTGGCGGAGCTGTGCGTTAAGAGACGCACAGCTGCCAGACTGTACTGTTCCATCATTGTATATACAATAGTGGCTCTGGGTTGTTACACGTGCTCCTATTGGTGTGCTATGTGCCATAATTTGATGGTAATTACCAACCACGGTTTGGTCAATAAAACTATAATAGTCAACACTGGCTATAAATGTTTGGTCCGTTTTCTACAGCAAGAGGATCAGATCATGGAGGCAACTGAGGGTCTGTCGGAAGCTACCAGCCTTCAGAGTCAGTCAGTTGTGGCCCTTGCCCAGCTGGCGAACAGTGATAGAGTGAGTTAACTTTTACACCTCATAGAAGTGTTCAGTGAATATGATACTAAAAGTGCAAACCCTCGGCAGAAAAGGCAGTGCATACACTGACAAACCCAGACAAAGTACGTACTGTAACCCTCACTGCACGTGAGATACTTAAACACACAGGTTGCATGAGGAGTCTTCCTTTACAAGAGGGTGTGGGGGTGTGGGAACAACGTACTATCTGTGAATAATTGCACAGCTGTCGGACTTTGTATAACCAGCTCTACCACATTAGCACTGTGTGCCAAGAACGACGAAATTCTCCGTGTACATGGAATTACACTTATTGCCATGTAGGGTTGTAGAGAGGGGTGATGCTTATTTGAGCTAAACAAATATACAATGAAAAGCACTGAAGTGCAAACCCTCGGCGAAGTGCGCATGCTCGGAGCCGCTAATTGATGGGCTGGGCTATTAGAGTTTGTTTGCCCATGGTCTCCCACTAGTAGCTCGCAGACCTAGAGAGTCTGACGTGGGATAGCTATAGTAGTAGATAGCATGCGGGAATCGATAAACGCCCTCTTCCCTTGCCTTCAAGCAAGTGGACCCGGCTGAGGTAAGTCTGTACTCGGAGGCATGACAGAGAAATTGGCAACTCACACAACTGGACACCTTCCTCTCACCGAACGAGAAGCAAAATGGCCACTTTTCCCACCCCCGTGCACGAATAATGTGCATGTGCTCTATCCGCAGAGTAAAATGGCCGACACTAACTGTATGCCGTACAATGGTGGAAGCACTGTAGCTCTGCAACAGAGCAATTTTCAGAGTAAACCACTCATAATTTCTGACCTTCATTGCCCGTTAAGTACATCGCATCATTTGTGAGACGAACAGACATCAGAGAGGTGAGATGTAGAGTAACAGACACGCAGACCCAACTACCGTAACCCTCGCTGCGCATGCGCACCCAAGGGTTAACTAGCACCCGATGTGTTAGCGACATCAGCTGCGACGGGCTGTTTGCAAGTTACAAATCTCACACTGTCTGCCTCGGATAAAAATGCTAAGAAGCTCCACCGACATTGGAAAATTAAAGGGGCGTGGTTGACTCAAGTGCGCAACATCATTTACCACCTTTTCCTCCTAAAGCAGGCTGTTTCGAAATAATAAAATGATCAACCTAAGTTTTGATTAGTGGCTGGATGGAGATCAATTGCATGCGCATCGAAAGGGTGCTGTCCAGCTATACATCTAACCTTCCACTGACCCCTTGTGGGTGAAGCTTCTTATCCGGCGGACACTTTCTGCAATGTCGCACCTCCTACTAACGAAAGACTCCCCTGGTGAAGTGCAGACTGATTGCAAATGAAAAGCACTAAAGTGCAAAACCCTCGGCAGTGTGGTACCGCGTTACCACCATAGCTTAGTCTAGCAATATTATTTGTCACAATCAGAGTGTGTGACTCTAGGCCAATGAACATGTTTAGAATACCCAGACTGGCTTATAAAGCAGGCCTGAACTGAGAAAAAACAGTGAACATGTCCTAAAGCCTAGGAACATGAAAATCGAAGAACGACAGAAACCATCATCATCTCATCAAATCACAAGTACATAGCTACACAACACAACCATGATCACGCGGAAATCAGACAAATCATACTACAATTTTATGAGAATATCGCCATCACGAATGAATGGCTCTAGTATCAGAAGTATCCTGAAAAGTCGGAGATACTGATATATAACGTCAGGAGCAAACTGAAATAGTGAGCTTATTACATGAATGAATGGCATTCCTCAGCTAGCCGGCAAGAGATCATGAGTATAATAGCCCAGTCCATGAATGAGCGGTACCGCGTATGGGTATACTTACACATGCGCGATTCTAGTGTGCCGAGGGCTTGCACTTTTCTGGGTTACTTTCACTAGGCCTAGCCCTGACGAATGTTGGTCTTCTCTATTCTATTGTCATTGTGAGTGAGCAGTATTATGGAACTGAAGGTGTAGATAATATGTAACTGGATTTGTAGCCCAGAAGCCATAGAAATCAAAGTGATGCGTACATGGGTATATTCCGTACCACTGACCGCACCCGACCACTTCCTGGGGGATATTCATATCCATTGGAGGGTACGAGTATCTGACCGACGGAGACGGCGAAAAAAGCCCAAAAACGACATTCTGTGTGGCAAATCTACTGTTTTATACGCTGTGAAGTACAGTCCTAAACCTCCACTGAGGTATCGCTTAGGCCGAGCGTCAGTCCTGGGTACCAAGGGCGAGTGCTGTAGTCAGCACTCGAACGGTCTGCACCTTGCGTGATTGGCAACGTGCTGCATAGCGGTGTTCCTGGGCTACAAATGGTTACCCACGGGTGCTGAAGCGGTACTGGATATCCCGTACCGCTTCAGCGCCTGTGGGTTAACCATTATGAATTCCCCCATGACATCAATGCTGTTCTTTTACTATTGTTTCCAGCTACAACATATGATTGAGCTAATTGACACATACCTGGAGGATCCAAGATCTGAAAGAGGTATTGAAAGTGTTTTGGGCATTTAATTTACTTCACCTGCACTAGCAGTCATTGTGTGTTCAGCAGGGAGCCTAATCATCAACTTGTTGCACTCAGTAATGGTACCACACAAGCTTAATACTTTACCCATCCATACCTGCCAACTGTTCCGATTAAATCCTGTAGTAAACCTCGATGGGGTTTACTAAATAGTAAACCTACTGAAACTACAAAACCTACAGTTAAAACAGGAAAACATACATGTAGGCAACAAATTTTGGGGGGAAAGAATTTGCAGAGCATTGGCGGCGCACTTAGAAGTAAGTCTGCGGAGCACCTCCCCAACCACAATCGGCCGTATACCACCAAGCAGGGCAGGAGAGAAGCACCACATAGATGTTGGATGACAGCATGTGGAAGCTTGCCTGCACACAGACGGTTAACCACCCTGGTTAGGCAAACCAGGGTGTGGTTAACACTATTAAAACACAGCCTCTTTGAGGTAATTGGCACGGAGACCGGAAGGCCTGGGGCGGGGAATGATCTCAGAGCACCTACCACCTGCTCCACAGAAACTACGATAGGGAGAGGGGGAGGAGCCGCAGGGATTGTAGAAGGATCGACACGGGGATGTTTTGCCTTCATATCGTTGAAAACATCGGAGGATGGGAGGGCAAGCCCCATGGAAGTGAGGGACTGTAGAGCCTTCCTGTACTGACCGTCTTCCACAGCACGATGGCCATGAGTAGCATTGCTGCGGCGACGAGACTCGGCGGATGGAAGTTTCGACTTCGATCGAACTGAGCGATCTCTGAGGCCCCTAACACTGGCAGTAATATCAGACCACAGACCTGATAGGTCACCGTCCTTCCACTTCTGAATCCGAGACTGGATCAGCTTGAGGGTGTCACGCCAGTGAGACCGGCCTCCTTTGGGGAATTGCTAATACACATTTTGGTAACATGGAAAGCTTACACCAGGGGCCGGTCTGTGAAGGTTTTGCCGCCACCTCAGAGAGCACATCGCCTAGGAGTAGGGCCTAGCGGCCTTGGGGACATGTTGAAGGGTTGGAACTCTCAGGTGCAGGACCGAATCTGGCGGCGGGAGGGGACTTGGGCAGCCTCCGATAGATAGAGAGGAAGTGGAGGTTGACTAGCAGGAGAAAGTAGAAAAGGCCGCCGGAATGGAGGTCGAGGTCGAGGTTGAAGGCACGGGTGGGGGAATTACAGCGTCGGAGGACTGCACGGGGGAAACCCAAGAGGACCGGGAAGGCCGTACCCGAGAGGAGGCAAGGGCAGTAGAAGAGGGAGGCGTGGACATGTTGGAGTAATTCTGGCCTCAGTACTGTCCCCTGTTCTGGCATTTTCCGGATCAACAGTAAAAAACGGCAGGAACGTGCGCGAACTTCGCACATGCGCTTAAATTGATTGACCACACCCTCTAATTACATCCCCACTAAGCGCATGCTTTCTAGTCACCGGCACCGAAATACCGTTTTAGGCATTACAAAGCGCATGCGCTTATATATCCGGGTTGCGGTAAGAGTTCGCACGCGCAGTGGTGCAACGAAGAGCCTTTATCTGGGAAGTAGTGAGGGCCATAGACCAATACATGTCGCTGACGTCCTCTGAGAACATGCCCACTGTTGCTGCCCATGGCGTCATCAACCACTCTGCATTTTGTGGAGCCCACGACTGGTGTTAACACCAAAAATGTGGAAAGTTATTGGGCAAGAATGAAGACAAAGCTGAAGAGAATGAAGGGATGCCATGCCCATCAACTTCCCAGCTACTTGGACGAATTCATGTGGAGGGAGCAGTATGAGCAGACTGCCAGGGACACTCTTCAGAACATAATGGCGAACATTTCACAGCTCTACCCGGTTTGACTTGCATAACCACAACAAAATGGCCAATAGTCTCTTTTACACACGATACTGCACTCCTGAGGTATGATTACTGCTGCCTGCCAAGTTGAGAGCCTTTGCACTGAGAGTCCGGGGCGCCCGAGACGTTTACATGGTCCGATGCCTTGTCGCTGCCTTGTGATCCATCTCAACTCAAGTCTCAACCACAGCTGTATGCGCATAAATATAAGCGCATGCGCTTTGTAATGCCTACAAACGGTATTTCGGTGCCGGTGACGCTTAGTGGGGATGTAATTAGAGGGTGTGGTCAATCAATTTAAGTGCATGCGTGAAGTTCACGCGCGTTCCTGCCGTTCTTTACAGTTGATCGCATTTTCCTAGGTCCCCCAGTTAAACAGCAAGAGCAGCTCTTGGCGCAGGCCCAACGAGCGCACTTAGCGGTTCTGTTGCACTTCACCGCCGGGAGGGAGCCGCCATCCTCTCCAGCTCCAACTCTCAGAAAAGAATCTGCAATTCCCTTGTATCTTACTCTCCCAGTGCGGAGGAAAAGAAAAAGCGGATCAAGTGGAAAGAACGACACCCTGATTTTTTTATGCGTGTGACTGCGTGGGCGTAAGTTGTTGAGTCACGTGCAACGGTGTACTTTGACCCCTGTGACTTCCGCTCCGTTTTTCGACGACCAGGCTGACTGCATCAGATTCTGACTGTCAGACCATTTGCGATCGCAGCAACGTATGCATCAAATCTGAAAAGTGCAATAGATATGGAAGACACAATTGTTCAGATTTGAAGACACAACTTTATATGAAGTGCAACGGAATATGAAGTGCTCTGATGATATTACAAAGAGAGTTAAACTGGGTATTGTGCAGCGATGTTGCGGATGATACCGATCCAGGCCTCGCCTCCAGTTTTACCATAGCGTTCCCGCCATAAAAACTCATCTAGGTAGCTGGGCAACTGTCCGGCGTTGCACCCTTTCATCTGCTTGAGCTTTGTTTTGACTCTGTTCCACATGTTGTGTGTGGACCCCAGTCACATTGTCCATAAAAATTGAGGGAATGGTTGACCACATTGTGTGCAGCTACATTGCCAAGCCCTTGCACACGTCGGTATGCAGCCCAGTCGTCACAGTGCACAATGGAACCCGGGGCCGTGTGTGCTTGGATGATGGGAAGCAAGGTAGCAGCATCACGACGTTGTACTACTTGCATGTACCCAAGTGCAGGCTGGTGTGATGTATCGACAATGCCGAATACCCACACTTCTGCGGTTGTCGCCCTTCCACGGTGATGTGAGTGTTACATTTACAACTATAGTGTATGATAACATTGGCTTCCTTGTGACGAAAGAGAGATTCGTCAACTTCCACAATGACACCCTGCCCTCCCAACACAATAGGAAGATCTCTCAATAGCCGTGTGGTGCACACTTCACGCAGCCACTGGTAGATGTCAATCGCGCTGCGTTTATCTACTTCAGCCTCATCCATGCAGTCCAGTGACAGGGTACTGCTTTGCCCACCAGTAGATAATGATCATCCACTTGGTGAGAGGGAGGCGAGACTTGGAGAAGAAACTTGACTCCCTGATCGACTTGGTTGTTTTGCATGTTGGGCAAAACCAAGAGACTCCATCGGATATATCTTTCCGTTTTCGTTCTCGCAGTGCTGTGTTGCAACTAATAATAAAAACGCATGCAGCACTTCAGTATTGACTTGCCTGGTGCAAGTTTTGTTTGCTGCAAGCAGTCTGTGGTGCCACAGGAAAGCATCTGTGCTGCCAAATATGATTGGTCCAGTCTGAATCAACGACATCTCTACAACACTTCGCAGTTCCCGCTTAAATTTTACCGCCAGAGCTTACTACACATGCGCAATCTATGCATATTTAGGTAAACAACGTGCTTGTAAACAAAACATAAATTTAATACGGAATATATATTTCAGCAACTTGTCTATGTTCAGTCAACTTTTCCATCTGTTATTGTTGTCTATGTTCAGTCAACTCTTCCATCTGTTACGATGAATGAATACTCCGCGTGTTCCTCCAGCACGGTCAATTTTGCTAACCATCGTTTCTGCGGTCATGGGCAGAGTGATATAATCGACGGAATGTACCGTTCGTTAATGCAGGTGTAGTGGGTAAGCTACGTTGCTGCGATCGCAAATGGTCCGACAGTCAGAATCTGATGCAGTCAGCCTGGTCGTCGAAAAACGGAGCGGAAGTCACAGGGGTCAAAGTACACCGTTGCACGTAGTTAGTTTGCGGGTGCCTATTTATACGTCCCCCCTATAACAAATTTTTTCAACTCTTCTATGCATGCATTATGGGTCGTTGAATATATTATGGGTCACTCATAAAATATATATATATATATATCACCAGGAACACAGTACACAAAGTAGAATTCAATGAAAAACATGTACAGAGGTGCCATGAAGTGCAGTTGACACTACTACTGAAGAATGAGAAGAATGCAAAAATTGATCCAAATTTCACAGCTAAATGCCTCAGGAATATTGTCGTGGTTAACATTAGTACACTTCAAATCATACCATAAACCACATGAATCACACTGAATCCACACTGAATTATCTTCCCCGTAAACAAGGCCACACTTAGGACACTCTGCCTCACTCTCCTCACTTTCATCATCGACAGTAAGTCCCTGAAGACATTCTTCCAATTGTAGACTTTTTCTGACTCCTTGTCATCTGTCTGGAACGGATCGACTCAGTTTTTTTTCGAGATTTTCTCTCCAGTGGTTGTTTCTGTTTCTGTTCCTTTTTCTTCTTTAGGTCGTTGTCTACATCATCATCGACTACATCATCATCTGTGATGAGCCGCGCTTTGGTGGTAGCCATCTTTCTTCGTTTTCCTGGTGACTTGGCCTTCAGAATGACAAGAATGTCATCAAGTGGACTGTTTGATGAAGAGGGTGGTGCGGTAGAGGGTCGAATTGCTGTTAAATCAGTGCTTCCAGTGGAAGAGGTTTTTACAGATTCTGGATGGCGCACTTTCAGCCATGACATATACTCCTCGTCCTGGACATCATAGCACTCTTGGAACCTTTTTTCAAATAGGGCCTCGTCCCAGCCAGATGCTACGCTTGGTGAAGGTGAATTGGCCTTTTGACAGGCAGTTGATGGAGCCAGGACCCTATCATTGATCTCCCCACGATTAAGTGGATATATTCCACACTTCCTAAACCCTGCCATTATGTTCACATGGGGTCACAGATTGTGGCCAAGCCACAGCAACCAACTTCGCAATTACCTCGGTTGTTATCACCCGCCCAGGATTATCACGAATATAGGCTTTGCAAGCTTTATAATAATGAGACTTTAGGGATTTGAACACCCCAACATCGAATCAGAAGTATGGGTCTTGAAGGTGGTATTTTCAAACCACTTGACAAACAACTCGCCTGTGACCCACCCACTGTCACTGCAGTGAAATGCTGTGTCTGGCAATGCACCAACCTTCAAGTGGTCGGCCATGCGCTTACGAGGCAGTAGGAGTAAAAAAACGTTTCCAGTTTCGTTCCGTTTCTTTCCGTTTGCCGTTCACTATCGTTCAGTTTCCGTTCAGTTGTGAATTCCACGTGCCACGCCCTCCGCAAACGCGGTAAGACTCGCTAGCGGTGGAGCGAAACAAGGTTTTTTCGTAGCCCAAACGCGAAACGAGAATGCAGTACCCACACAGGTGCTAGAAGAAATATATTCACAGTGAGGCCTTCGCATCTCGCGAATTACGGCCCTCGCGCGAACGCATGTACGGCAACGATTCTAAACGGAATGGAACGGAACGGAACGAATTCCAACGGTAAATGAACGGCGTTTCAGAAGGAAACGGAACGGAACGGAACGGAACATATCGTGAAAGGGGGCAAAGCATATCCAGAAGCTGAATGAAACACAGGTTAATATTGTGTGTGTTCTTCCCTTCTCGGCTGAGGTTATTGCCCACACATTTCGACATCTCAACTCGGCTATTACTCTACCTGGCTTATGCACAATAGAAAGCCCTGTTTCGTCCATATTATATATCATCATTGACTTTGACACGATATTTAGCCGGGCATATATAGATCCCAATTTTCCGAAAAAGTAAACTATTATGTCTTCATTGGCACAGGCTGCACGTGAGTGAGAAAGCGATTGTGTGGACCTAAGCGTCAGGTTAGGATGACGAGCCCTGAAACCATCCAACCAAGTCCGCCCTGCTGCTCCGTCGGAGAAGGGATGTTTGCGGCCAGAAGATTCAGCAATTTTGTACGCAGTGTGCATGACATCATCCCTGGAAAGGCCAAAGCCCATGTCTGCCATTTTAGCACAGTACATGGCAAGCTGGTGTTCTTCGTCCTGGGTTAACACAGTTGGAGGACCTGACCTGCATTCCAACGGCACTACATGGTTCACCCGCCGTCTGAGGGTTTCATATGGGACATTATAGAGTCTTGACACTTCCCGAATCCCCATACCATCCTCAATGGCTACTCACAGCAGCTGCCATGCTCTCCTTCGTCCATAATTTTCTGCTAGCTGTTGATGACATCATCTGCGTACAAATAATTTACACCTGAATAACCGTGGACAGTAGATATAGCCAACTTACGAAGATTCGACTGGAAGGAAAGAAAAATGGCGACTACAGACATGTGTAGGTCAAAGGTCAACAAACGCGCATGCTCAATATCAGTTTAACGACAACTATGAGCACCGTCAGTGTACCCGTCTTACATTGTTGGTTGTATGCACGAAATATCGCTTCGATATTTGAAGGTGACTCGTAATACCCGCTGATTCGCAATAGGAACATATACCTTACACATCATAAACTTGAGTGTGGCTTCCACAAAACTCCGGTGTCCTGCTCGCTAGGTTGGCAGGTATGCTTAATGGCTGTATTAATGTGATTAACATAGCTGCTACCTCAGTGACAAATCTGTAAGATTCTGTTTGTAGAATACTAGGTAAATGGTCACTGTCATCTTTTCTTCTAAGTGGGTTTGCATCTTAGCCGCATGCAATAAGCTATAGATTGACTTCTGTAAGCTTATGTGCACGAGTGGCATATACATATACAAGCAAGGGCATCAAAGGTTAAATGACCTGTTAGCCACACAAAACTCTAGTGTCAAGTCCTGCTCTTCTTCTCGTGCAGGTTCAGGATTTGATGCTTCTGAGTTGGTCGATACGCTTTCCTGGTCTGCTTGTTAATTCTCTTGCTAGTGTGGATGTCTGACTACAAAAGTTCAATTGTAGAATCTAGGCAAAACATGAAGTTGTGAACTGTGGGATGTTTTCATCGTAGCTGTCATACTATGCACATAAGCCTTGGCAGTATGCACTCAAGGGCTTCACTACAGAATAATGATCGCAACATTGAGACTGCCGTTACTCCCAAGGGTAAAAGGAGAATTTCCAACCGTGTGCCTCTCTTGGTCACTTTCAATCCTAATCTCCCTAAGCTACTACCTGCAATAACAAAATCACAATTCCGCTACTAAATGTCATGTCCCGTCTAAAAAAAGAATTTTTCGGATAGACCCCATTATTGCGTCCAGAGGACTGAACCTTTGAGATCTGTTGGTTCATGCCGAGATCTCTCCTCGTGAACTCATCCCTGGCACTGGGAGCACTCCAATGTACAGCAGTAAACATTGCCTTACCTGTAAACGTAACAAAAGCCACCACAGCTGTGAGTATTTCAAACGGCAACACATTCCGCATTCATGCATCCACTAACTGCAACACATTGAATGTTATATACCTCATTCAATGTTAGCTGTCACCTATATACCAAATGTTGGAGAGACACAGAATCCCCTTTATTTACGAATGAATGGCCACTGCAGCAACAACAAATGAAAACTAACTGTTAATCTGATACCGACTCGTTTCTGCAAAGACCAACATTCACTCTCTCACGTCAGCATAATTGTTTTATATTGTTTTTGAGTTACAATGATCAACTCTGTAAGAAAAAGAAACCTTTTGGATCCACCAACTTTTTGCATCCCCACGAGCTAAATCTAGACACTTGAACCAGTTCCTCCCGTCCTCATTCTCCACCTTTTTGTCATAGACTCTGTTGTTGTTAGCATTCCATCTGTCTTTGTTGTCACCATCCTTTTGCATTACTACCCCTGTTTGTAGTACACCTGATGAAGGCTGCAAAAAGCTGAAACGTACAGTGTGTATCTGTTGTGGTTTTCTTTGACCAAGCCCAGCCTGCTACTACTACTTTACTAAAGATATTGCCCTCCAGTCTGGAAAAAAGTATTGTTGTTGTCGTGTTCCCACCAATCTACATTTCCTCTTGGTGAATACGCTCCTTTACAAACAGAGCGCAGTATAAATGCTATAAGTTTCATTATCTTCCTCGCCATTTTGATTGTCTATAGCTTGTTTCAAGTATTGCACCTTCACAAGCCCAATGCTAATAATCTCACTTCAGTTACATAGCTGCAAGAACATGATTCTGTGCGGAGCGATTAGTGCCTTCCATAAGTGTGGCCCACTCTGATGATGGAATTTGATCTATCTTAGAATAACTATTTCTTTTTTTATCAGTCATAGGCCCAGTCGAGGCAGACCCTGAATATCAGTTGATAGTTGATTCCAACAATATACTTGTGGAAATTGACAACGAAATAAGTAAGTGGATCCACTATGTATGTGTTGTGTACGCATACACATTAATAATATGTTAAAAGCACCAGAGCTCTATTCTGAAGTACTCACATATGACTGGTCTAGGCTTAGACGTCGAAATAAATCTATACAGTGCCAAGCCCTAAGAGAATAGAAAGGTCATTGCCCAATTACTTAGTTGTGGTGTTAGCAATCCACACAAATGACATATCAAACTTCTAAAGGATGGTCCTTCAGAAAAGGAAGTAGTTACAAGTTTAAGAAACCTGAGATTTTAAAAAAGAGGCATATAGGGATGGTATTAAAAAAAGGGAGACAAGATAGGGATGAGATACATGAAGCATTGTTAACGAACATAATGTACATAATCCCTATATTGTTGCCTAGGTGAAGTATTAAATATTCACCATTACAATACTCAGGACCAATAGACAAAAAAAGCCATGCAACTGAGTAACCAACACCTCCAAATGGAGATTAATGTGGCAGTATAAGAGGGCTAAATCTATAATGTTACTTATTGTATTTTGCGTGGGCGAATCAAAGGCGCCGCCAGTACTATATTCATCATACAGAACGGTTTTTGAATGAACTGTACTATATCGCGTGGAACTGTACTATATCACACGAACTGTACTATATCCGCGGAATAGCGTACGCTTTGCGGGAATGACGCCTCGGCGGCCTTTCGTAGACGGAGGTCGACTCAGACGGTGACACAAACAGCTGCTGGAAGGGCGCTCCGCGAGCTTCTAGTCCTTCTGAGCTTAGATTTTCCTGGCCGCCACCTTTTCTAGCGTACGCTTTGCGGGAATGACGCCCTCGGCGGCCTTTCGTAGACGGAGTTCGACTCAGACGGTGACACAAACCGCTGCTGGAAGGGCGCTCCGCGAGCTTCTCGTCCGTTCTGAACGCCGTTTTCCTGGTCGCCGCCTTTTGAATCGCCCACGCATACAATAAATTACTTAATATACGGAAGCACGTGCTGTGCGCGTGATAATGGTACTCGGAACGTGGTCTCGATAGATCATACAGCAACTCGGCTGCGCCTCGTGCTGTATGACTATCTCGACCACGCCCCTCGTACCATTATTACGCGCACAGCGCTGACTTCCGTACATTAACTATTACAAAATAATAGGGGCACAGTAAAAGAATGCAACTGAGTTCCGTTTTTAGTAACATTCCTAAATTTAGCCCATATAATTGAGCTGTCTGGTGGAAGAATTACATATGTCCACTAAAAGGGTATATTACGGTTTACTAGCTATTCA